CTGATCAGACTTTGGCTTTAGCTCAAGAAGTTTTTTCCCATACCCTCTTCATGCAAATAATAGTGTCGCATGATGCGATCTTTAATATAGCCAAAGTCTAATCTTAGATGTTCAGGGACTGTTTCTAAGATCTTTAATGGTTCAAATGCTAAGTGTTTTTGAAATACAATATCCCACTGGTCTTTTAGAATATCATGAAAATGCATTTGTAACAGGAAATTAGATATATAGCTGCCAATATCATCCTTCTCAGAGAAGTTCCTAACTATACATGCATACGTTTTGAATTTATTTTCTTCTTCTCTTAATCTCTCTTTTTGAATAGCCGCTTCTCTTCTGGAATCATTTTCAGTTTCTTTAGTTCTTATTTGTGCCTATGCCTTTCTTTTTCAGTCTGAATTGAAACAGCTAGCCTTTTACGTTCCAACTGTATCTCTTGTTCTTTAAGTATTCTTTCTTGTTCCAATTGTTGTTTTTTTTCCATCTCTATCTCTTGTCTTTTCATCTCTAAACGTCTTTCTTATCTCAAGTCATCTTGCATTCTCTTTTCTTTTTCATCACAGAACTTTCTAAGTTCTTCTTCCAAATTTAATTCTTTACCTAGTTTGATCAGCTCTGCCAAGCTAGACATTTTGATGTCTTCACAATGTAAACAAAAATGAAGTTACAATTCCTTACTTTCAAATTACACACCCTTAAAAAGCAATATAATTTCTAGTAACTTGAATCAATAACTAAAATGTCTCCTTGGTATAAACAGTATACCTTAAATTATAGTGGGTGTAACTTGTTTAACCCCCAAGACTATAACTAAATGATTCTCTATACACTGTTGGGATCTAAGAGGAAGACTAGATTCCTTAAGTAGTATAAATTTGGTCTATTGATGAGTGATTCGGTTAAGCACACTTGAGAATGTAGATTAAGAGGCAGAAGTGGGATATATTATTTGATAAAGATTATTAATCAAGATGTAATAGACTGTTGTAGCAACAAGAATAGATTCAGTGGATTATCAAAGTAGTTTATAAGATAATTAATGAAATAATATTTAAATGTTAAACAGTGAATAACTGTTTCAGAATAATCAACCTGCGTAGCACAGTAGTTGGTTACAAAGTTTAAGACTAGATGACTACACCTTCCGAAAAAAATTTCAATTAAAAAAAATTGTCTTTATTTTTAAGGCTGCCTTAAACTGAGTATAATTTAATAAATTAAATTTTTTAATTATTTCAATTGTTTGAAAAAAAAATACTTGATTCACTTTGCCTTGATAGTCGGCTATGGCAGAATAATCACCAATAAATAATAACTTCAAAAAAAAATGTCACCTAATTAGTAGTAATGTAAGGTAATAACCTGAATTATACAATGTGATGCTTATAGGATGGTACCGTTTCAAATTAAGTTCCCAGTATTTGTAGTATGAATGTTTCTTGGATACCATCCGTGTGTTTACACCACTCACTTTCAATGAAAAAAATCAGTTACAGTGTATATAAAGTCAAATTGCAACACACGAGTTCACGGGATGGTGGAAAAAAAATTCCTGTACACAATAAATGTAGTCAATGCTAGCAATCAACAAGAATAATATTCAATATAGACCAAATAAAGATACGGTGTTCAATCAATGAATGTACTAACAACCAATAATACAATGACCTTTAACCAAATTAATGATTAAATCACCAATGATTAAATTATTATTTTCTCGGTATAAAAAACAAAATTCCTATTAACCACAGCTGTACCTTTGTTATAGTGACTACAACTGATGATGTTGAATGCTGGATAAGATAAATCAAATGTGACAAAATGTGTAATTTAAACTTAAAGTAAATTTTGTGACACTTGATGATGATGTTTTTATGATATTATGTTACTAAAATAATTATTAATTGATATTTTGTTAAGGGATATAGATGGAATTAACTATTAATTTTTTCAAACACTAGATGATATTGGTTTAAGTAATATTTTGGTAGTTTATTATTCAGGTACGACTAATTATGGCACACGATGATGATGATGGTATTTAAATGTATGTACTTTAATAATACCCACTATTATCGGAGTATTATAAAAAATAATTTTTAATTTATAGTTATTCATGTAAAAAATAATGTAAACAATAGTAGAATATTGCACAATAATAATAAATGCACTAAAATAACAATTTTATTAGTAAATAAATTAACTGTCAATGATGCGGTAATAAAGAAAAATATAAATAACAAATAATAATATATTGATTATAATAATGAATGAATGTATATAAGCACAAGAAAAATAATTCAAGAATTATAATTATTATGATGCCCTATGTTGATGTTTTGCTGCTGTTGCCTTTTTGATAGATGTCCTAAAGTTATTTCTGCGATGACTTTGTTGCCTTCTTGACGGTTTTTCTGATAAAACTTGTCAGTTGAACCTTCTACTGCTAATTTTAAACTAGATTATTTAAGAAATAATGTTATTTTGCTGGACCTAATTAATTTTAACCGCACATTTTAATTGTACACAGTAGTAATTATTGTACCAAATGAACACTGATCACCGAGATGTTCATTGAAGTACTTATTGCACAAACTGGATACTGTTCATGGCACTGTTCAATGTATGTGCTTTTAGTTTCTGTTGTGCATTATGAATATAGTATACTATGGCTAGTTCACTGCTAAACTGTACACTGTATACACTTAACAAATGATTTTTTGAAACATTCGAATTAGCACAGAATATTTAAATTGTTCTCCTGTTGACTGATTGTGTTTAGGTCGTTTAGAAGAAGAAGAAGAAGAAGAGAAGAAGAAGAAGAGAAGAAGAAGAAGAAGAAGAAGAAGAAGAAGAAGAAGAAGAAGAAGAAGAAGAAGAAGAAGAAGAAGAAGAAGAAGAAGAAGAAGAAGAAGAAGAAGAAGAAGAAGAAGAAGAAGAAGAAGAAGAAGAAGAAGAAGAAGAAGAAGAAGAAGAAGAAGAAGAAGAAGAAGAAGAAGAAGAAGAAGAAGAAGAAGAAGAGAGAAGAAGAAGAAGAAGAAGAAGAAGAAGAAGAAGAAGAAGAAGAAGAAGAAGAAGAAGAAGAAGAAGAAGAAGAAGAAGAAGAAGAAGAAGAAGAAGAAGAAGAAGAAGAAGAAGAAGAAGAAGAAGAAGAAGAAGAAGAAGAAGAAGAAGAAGAAGAAGAAAGAAGAAGAAGAAGAAGAAGAAGAAGAAGAAGAAGAAGAAGAAGAAGAAGAAGAAGAAGAAGAAGAAGAAGAAGAAGAAGAAGAAGAAGAAGAAGAAGAAGAAGAAGAAGAAGAAGAAGAAGAAGAAGAAGAAGAAGAAGAAGAAGAAGAAGAAGAAGAAGAAGAAGAAGAAGAAGAAGAAGAAGAAGAAGAAGAAGAAGAAGAAGAAGAAGAAGAAGAAGAAGAAGAAGAAGAAGAAGAAGAAGAAGAAGAAGAAGAAGAAGAAGAAGAAGAAGAAGAAGAAGAAGAAGAAGAAGAAGAAGAAGAAGAAGAAGAAGAAGAAGAAGAAGAAGAAGAAGAAGAGAAGAAGAAGAAGAAGAAGAAGAAGAAGAAGAAGAAGAAGAAGAAGAAGAAGAAGAAGAAGAGAAGAAGAAGAAGAAGAAGAAGAAGAAGAAGAAGAAGAAGAAGAAGAAGAAGAAAGAAGAAGAAGAAGAAGAAGAAGAAGAAGAAGAAGAAGAAGAAGAAGAAGAAGAAGAAGAAGAAGAAGAAGAGAAGAAGAAGAAGAAGAAGAGAAGAAGAAGAAGAAGAAGAAGAAGAAGAAGAAGAAGAAGAAGAAGAAGAAGAAGAAGAAGAAGAAGAAGAAGAAGAAGAAGAAGAAGAAGAAGAAGAAGAAGAAGAAGAAGAAGAAGAAGAAGAAGAAGAAGAAGAAGAAGAAGAAGAAGAAGAAGAAGAAGAAGAAGAAGAAAGAAGAAGAAGAAGAAGAAGAAGAAGAAGAAGAAGAAGAAGAAGAAGAAGAAGAAGAAGAAGAAGAAGAAGAAGAAGAAGAAGAAGAAGAAGAAAGAAGAAGAAGAAGAAGAAGAAGAAGAAGAAGAAGAAGAAGAAGAAGAAGAGAAAGAGAAGAAGAAGAAGAAGAAGAAGAAGAAGAAGAAGAAGAAGAAGAAGAAGAAGAAGAAGAAGAAGAAGAAGAAAGAAGAAGAAGAAGAAGAAGAAGAAGAAGAAGAAGAAGAAGAAGAAGAAGAAGAAGAAGAAGAAGAAGAAGAAGAAGAAGAAGAAGAAGAAGAAGAAGAAGAAGAAGAAGAAGAAGAAGAAGAAGAAGAAGAAGAAGAAGAAGAAGAAGAAGAAGAAGAAGAAGAAGAAGAAGAAGAAGAAGAAGAAGAAGAAGAAGAAGAAGAAGAAGAAGAAGAAGAAGAAGAAGAAGAAGAAGAAGAAGAAGAAGAAGAAGAAGAAGAAGAAGAAGAAGAAGAAGAAGAAGAAGAAGAAGAAGAAGAAGAAGAAGGTCTCATTTATGCATAAGTCAAGTGTAAAATGTTTGGCACAAAAAATAATTACTAAACTGTACACTGTATACACTTAACAAATGATTTTTTGAAACATTCGAATTAGCACAGACTATTTAAATTGTTCTCCTGTTGACTGATTGTGTTTAGGTCGTTTAGAAGAAGAATAACAAGAAGAAGAAGAAGAAGAAGAAGAAGAAGAAGAAGAAGAAGAAGAAGAAGAAGAAGAAGAAGAAGAAGAAGAAGAAGAAGAAGAAGAAGAAGAAGAAGAAGAAGAAGAAGAAGAAGAAGAAGAAGAAGAAGAAGAAGAAGAAGAAGAAGAAGAAGAAGAAGAAGAAGAAGAAAAAGAAGAAGAAGAAGGTCTCATTTATGCATAAGTCAAGTGTAAAATGTGTGGCACAATAAAAAAAAATTTTGTGGGGTGGGGGTGGGGAGGAAAGGGGTATGCAGGTCTGCGGTGGATGATGGTGAACTCCCATTGTAGGAGTGGCACTATTAAAATGAAATTATACTTTGAATGTTCTCACCAAAACAGATTCTCTGTAGAAGAAAACTTCGGATGGGAAACATGGGAGATGGTGGATGGGAAATCTGCGATGATCCAGACGTCAGGCCCAGACCTCCTTGTATCATATACTCGTTTGGGATCAGCAACGACTTTTCGTTCGATGACGACGCGTCACGAGTGTATGGCTGTCACGTGTATTCATTTGACCCCAGTATGACGAAATTTGCGGACAAAGTGGAGAGGTAACGTTGAATAGAAAATATATTCTCGACTGTATCAGTTGGCTTTGTAATGCCAGGTTCGATCCCAGCTGCGGACGGGTTGTCTTCCCTTGGTTTCGACAGCAGCACCGAGAGCTAACCATCTAGGACGCAATGGTAAACTGGTTGTTGCGTATCCTTTACAGGACGTTGCAGAACCAACTCCAACAGCCCCTGACTGTTGTGTGGTTTTTCTAGGCAAATGTACGTCCAGGTTTGCCATTGATTCCTGGGACGGTCGGCTTTCTTGATACCACTGTCGAAACCAACGCAAGGCGCCTAGCCCGCAGCTAGAATTGAACCCGTCATCCCGACAATACGAAGCGTTCGCATCGACTTAGCCACAGAGCCGACCACTAGTAAACTACAGAACGTAAAATGTGCCTAGTAAAACCACAACAGCCCAAAAACGCTGCGGTTGTTTCTACAACGGCATGTAAGGTATACGCAATAAAAAAAGTAAAGTTCCTTTTCACGCCTTTCGACGCATCGGGCATATGGGCAGAGCGTCCCATATTTTTTACAGACCATCAGCACTCTGTGGGTAATGTGGTCAGCATTACGCCGGCTGTCTTTGCTTTCCCAGGACAGCCCATCCTGGTACCCACTTTAGGCTGGGTCGACCTGCGACGTCCCATACCACGACAAAAATCCACGCAGCCTGCAGTGGGTTTCGATAGCGGTATGCTGGCTTACGAGTCGGACTCGCAACGCCTTAGCCACGGACGCAATACGCAACTTTATATATAAATGTATATCCTAGTGTGGGTCCCGGAGCTCGTTTGCGGAGGAGGGGGAGAATAGACCCTCTGCTTCCCTTTCTTCAGATCCTCCAAGCAAGCATTTGATTAAATATAGGAGTTTCCTTGGAAGTCAACGTTCATCTGCCTTGGAGATGATGAATCGACTGTGCACATGCAAATAAAGCTAGATTTGTAAAACGAACGTGCAGGTAAAACTCAAAACACAGCCACAGTCCAGAAATGGACAAACAGACAAAACATTCCGCCGAAGTTCATAGACGATGAACACTAAGAAGACGAAGATGTACATAGTGCTGTATAGAGAATCAACATTCTAGCAACAACCAAGTATCGCATTGTATACAGTGCAGTATATAACAGTTTTAATTTGCAGTACACAACAGTTCTAATTTGCAGCATACAACAGTTCTAATTTGCAGCATACAACAGTTCTAATTTGAAGTATACAACAGTTCAAATTTGCAGCATACGAAAGTTCTATTTTGCGGTATACAACAGTTATAACTAACTTGCAGTATACAACAGTTCTAATTTTCAGTATACAACAGTTCTAATTTGCAGTATACAACAGTTCTAATTTGTAGTAGACAACAGTTCTAACTGTCAATCATTACACAGTACACCATGTGTAAAGAAAACAATCGCAATCACACATCACATTGTACCAATTGTGGTCGTGAAAACAGGACGCCTTAACTGCCAAACATTGTTTTGTACAGGATGTATGTAGTATGAAGAAAGTAACTTTCCAACTGCCAGGTATCGAATTTTCACTGCCACATACCCTACTGTACACAATGCAGTAGACGGGAATAAAATATAGGTAGGCAGTGGGTAATTTACCACTGGATGCACTTGTGTGAATGCATTTAAAATGCTAGCAATTATGGAAATTTTAGTGGTGTGTATGAAGGGTAAAGAATGCCACAGGTGCAATTTAAAAAAAAAGAACGCATCATGATAGAGTTTAAATGGGGAAGATATTAAAAGATAAAAAGAAGCAAAAGCTTTCTACCAGTGTCTTTTACGCAGTATAGCAGAGCCTGACTACTGTGTATCTCGTCTCGAAACATAAAGGCTGCATACAATCGGTACGTACACACATTTACGTACAAACATACATGATTCTGAAGAGCAAATTGATTTTTATTACAGCATTCCGTGTACATGTATGCAATTATTTATTTTATGAAAATAACTGAGTTAGAAACTGTAAGATTTATACTTTGATAATATCATATTTGCAGATCAAAGCTCGTGCACTTCTATAAAATAGGACTCTCTGACAAAAGTACAACAGCTAGCAACCAATGGAAAATGAAAACTCTAGCAGACATCAGGACCATGTTGGGACATAACAATGTCACTATTGACATTATCAAGATGGACATTGAATCTTCTGAATGGTCATCGCTGCCAGAGATGATCAAGTCCGGCCAGCTAAAGACAGTGAAACAACTGATGGTAGAATACCACGTAGTTGATAATTCGCAAGGTTATCTATTGCCAAAACTTCAAACCATCCAGGCTGTTGAGCAAGCTGGCTTTCAGAAATACTACGTGCACAAGAATCCAGCTTGTGCGAGGAAAGTTCCAGGTTATCCGATTGCCAGAACATCCTGTTATGAGGTGCATTACATTCGTAGGTGAACATCACTCTGATATATGTGCTTGTGTATTCTAACATGTTTTAATCTAGGCGTTAAATAAATTCACCTCGCATGCTTGACTACCCATTTATGAAATTACAAATGTATTCCCCGCTGGTTTTATTATGAACGTTTAAAATTATAAACATATCCTCGACATGGGGTGAAACGATACACTTTGTCCTTTTAGGAATAAGGCTTTTAACACGCACCTAGATTATTTATAGTCGTGTTGATGGCTCGCTGTTTCACCCCTCAGTGGTAAGTCTGGACACCTAACCAGCAGACACCGCCCCTGGGGTTAAAGGAGGACGGCGGACCAGCTGCGTCCTGTCCCAACAGTCTCAACACTTTACACTGACCAATTCCTATTGGTTTGGTTGACCAGTTGCAGAAATGAATTATACAGTTTAATTATTCTGAGAGAAAGTATTATGAAATGAACTCCAAGATGTGTCATGTGAAAACCTCCAAGAAAAATTTAGATATCAGCTAAAAAAAAAAAAAAACAACAGTCCATGAAGACTTCCATTTTTTGATGAGGCTCATGATATCAATTTACGGATGTCAGTTTCACTTTTAAAGAAGACGACGATGGCACTCGTAAGGAATTGCTAGGGTTCGTAATGGTATACTAGCACCCTCTCTGATTCTGGGAAATAGGAATTTTTCTCTCTCTGAGCAATACGGGAATTAGACCACAACTATTTAAAAAAAAAATTAAAAAAATTAAACATTGTCATGTGGTCTCAATGTATACATACTTCACATATCAAGCTAACTGAAACCCGGCGAACTCAGATTTATATCGTTTGTCACCATAGAATATGCATGGATGCAAAAGACAGAAAAGGGGGGGGGGGGGGGTAGAAACCTATGATAGTGTTGACAGGACGTGAATGAGTGCGTGTGTGTGTGTGCGTGCGTGCGTGTGTGCCTCTGTATGTGTGTGTATGTGTGTGTGTGGCTTTCTCCAAATACAGAGTCAGAAAAAGTGCCTTACAAATGAAAACAACGACACTGAAATCACCAGCAGAGAGAAGTGTGTGTATGCATATAAATTATGAGCTCAACACATGTAAATATCATAGACACAAAAAGCGATGTGAACAAAATCTGCTTCCCTTGTCCCCAAAGAAAGAAACAAGCCAAACTACTTTTCGATTCTGTCCTTCCCGTTCTGCTAGGCACAATACCGGATTTAACTCTAGTTCTAGTGTTTCGGCCCCGTTGCCCGCAATTTGTGCACGGCCTTATCTGATGTTTCTCTTGTCTGTGTATACGTGGTCCAATTCGTTCCTAAACAATTTATTTGGGAAATGTCACCCAGTGCATCATCTTTAAGGATCTTTCATCATCATCATCATCATAATCATCATCATCATCCCACAAAACTACGTGTCACCATTTTCTGTTTACTGTCTGATCAGCTCGCTCCAGCTTTGGCGGTCAGTTGTGATGAACCTGATGGTTGTATGCATGATGTCTATCCAGTCAGTCAGGTTCTGTAACTAGGTCTTTCTAGGTCCGCCTCTTCTCCTCTTTCCCTCTACTAAGTCTGTAATATTGTTTTTGAGAGGTCGTTAGATCTGATTACATGTTCATAATATTACATTGTTCGCCTTTTCACTGTAGTCACGAGAGGTTAATAGTTGCCAATGAGGATCATTACTGCACATAATTCAGTTAACACTTTTTTTTATAACGCCGACATCTAGAGAAGATGCAATGTAACAACTAATCACACCAAGTAAAAGTTCTCTGGCTCTATAGTCTCTGAAAAACAAAATGACTTTAGCTTGTGCACCTTCCCAAAACAATTCCATTCCATTAAAAGAAATCTCTCCCACATTCAGTCTGCCGTTAGCAAGCCGAAGCAACCAACAGACTCCGGTTATATTTGTGGTCTGGTTTGTTTTCGCCACTTTCGTGGCTAGAGTTCTAGTATTTACGCCAGCTCTTTGGATTAATCCGTCTTCCCTCAAAGTCAGACCGCTCGATCCTTTCCTGTGTCCGGGTGTGTTTCCCCCTTTTTTTCTGGTGTTTTCCTCTTGGTTCATGCTTCTTCTAATTTGGTCAGGTGTATCTCGTAAGAGACCGAGCTTTCTATATAACGTCCTTTTAGACCTCCATTTATAGATTTACAATTTTCAATTTTTTACTTTGCCAAAAAAATTACTGAGAACAGTTTTTGATTTTGGATGGATCCGAAATTGTGAAAACAATGATTGCAACAAGTGCAGTACCAATCGACTATGCCGAGGCGAAGCTGATACACTGCTCTGGTACTGGTTACATGGCGCTTGCCACTCGCCTTCACCTCCCAATCATTCAAAACTAATGCAGACATCAAGACAAAGATGCCAATTTTCGCGAACGGCAACAGTCCTTCCCAAAGCAATAAGATATTGTTTGCATGAAAATACTGGTGTTCTATGGTTACACACACAAATGCTTGCTTCCTATCAGCTGCTGTATTGAAGATGTCACCCATGGTAATATAATCTTTATACTTCTGACATGAAGTATTAAGTGAGTTTCATGTTATCACGCCTCGAGACTGTCATATAATATCTCGTAGTATAACCAAATATGGCAACATACCCACCTGCGTCGTAGACTATCTCCCAGTCCACAAAAATAAAAAATACTGGCTTTATGGCTGAAATGCTAAAGAAAGATTTTCGGAATAGCACGGAACAAGGAGAGGTGAAATGCTAACATTAAAAAACATCTGAACATCAAGAAATGTTGGCTAACTAACCGCTGATAATTTTGACCGTATCATGCGCCATAGCAGAATAAACAAAAGTCGTAAAAGAAGAAGGCATGTTACTAGAAAGTAGGGACAGGGCCTGACCAACACAAAGATGGGCACGGGATATAAGTGACTTTTTGAATACCAAAATGCACAAGGCGGAAGAGCTGGCGAGAGACTGTGATTCTTTCAGGCAGACCGTGAGAGCGACGTACTGCAAAGGACCTGATACACGATGATGATGACACATCCAATGACAAGCAGCCATCAAGGAAATGTTCAGCCACTTACATTCCCCGTCTCCTATGGTTTTGTATTGTTACAATGCGTTTATAAATTGGTGCCGGTGTATTTTAGATAATTTCTCGGCAATTATTTATCGCGGTGATGCGGTATTCTTAGCATGAGTTCCTATTTTCATCTAAATGTTAACGATTTGTTTCGGGCATAAATAATATTTAGACTGCCCAGTTTTACATTTTCTTTGTTATTTTCGTCACTTGTATAATTTTAGTTTAGCAGAGAAACAAATTGTACAGTACTGACGTAAATTGTGAGTATGGTAGAAGCGTTATTGCATTTGTTTATCACGAGAGCGAAAGTCCCTACCAGTGTTCATAAATGATAAGCATGCATATATTGTATAGTCGGCTCTGTGGCTAAGTCGATGCGAACGCTTCGTAATGCCGGGATGCCAGGTTCGATCCCAGATGCGGGCGATGAGCCTTGCGTTGGTTTCGACAGTGGTATCAATAAAGCCGATCGTCCAGAGCAATGGCAAACTACTAGACGTAACTTTGCCTAGAAAAACCACGCAACAGCCAGGGGTTGTTGGGACTGGTTCTGCAACGTTCTGTAAATATACGCAACTAACCTTATATTGTATGTTTGAAAAAAAAATATATCGTTATTGTGTTGTGTTATAATTTCTTAAGCATCAAGGATTTTGCATCGTCTAACATTCTGTATATTGCTCCTTTAATAAAGTCTTTTTCAAAGCTATCAGTTTTCTTTTTTCCTTCCCCGCTCACCATTGTTCTGTTTAGAAAGAACTAATCCTTCTCTAGCCCATCTTGGAAGTATAAGGTTTATAGTAACTAGAGCATGTTTTATTCTTTTCTCTTGATTTGAAATATAATGACACAGACAATCACGTTTAGCCTCAAATGACAAATATGTATAACTGTTTTGTTATGTTTTTGAGTTTATGAAGAATTTAACTTTCAGTGCCATTCTGATAACACAGGATCCTACCATATAAGTTAGGCCTTGACAACTTGTGACAAAACTTGGCAGCGTACGCATTTCATAGTGAGTAGTGACAATTTCAGCACAACAGTTGCTGCCTTATTCAGAATGTACGTAAAACACAAGAAATATGTGTTTTTGTGAAAAGTTCTGATTGGCTACATTTATCTTTGTACTGTATAACTCAAACGGCAACACAGCAAGGCATGGTATATTTATCTATCGAAGATGCAGCAGTGTAGTCAAAAAACTTGTTATGCGGGGTTGGTGAGGGGGTTATGGAGTGGGTGAAGGAAACGTAAAAATAAAAATTATATAAATAATTAATTTTTTTTTCAAGTACCCAGAAACAATGAGTTTTTAACCCTTTTGCTCAGTACTATGGATATCGCAACTTTTCGGTCTTGAATTTATGATATATACCGTAAATCTGGGAGAAATGTGGCTTCACTGCCTCCCCCGGGCGTGAACCTAGCTAGACCACAAGGAGTTCGTCACTCGGTCGCCGCAAAGTCCGGTTTAGCCAACTGCGCTAACCAGCAAGGCGTCAGTATAAATATATAATTTCATCCATTTGTATTCCACAACAGCTTAGATGAAAAAAAAAGTTTCTTCACAAGCGAAGCTCTTTCTTTTGCTGTCATCACACTGATACCAGATTGTAGCCCAGTATCGTGGTTTTTCTTTCAGCTACACTGTTTATCAATCTCTTCCTTGGTCTTCCTCTAGCCTTACTGTTCTTTCTGTAGAGGGTCTAATATACAGGTCTGTGTGGGACATTATTACTATTTGGCTAAACCACTTCAATTTCTCTGTCTTTCAATGTCATTCAGACACGGTAGTGTTCCAAAATCCTATTAAACGCTAATATTCATGACCATGTACCATCTGGCATTGCTGGTGATTTTTAAGAGACAGCCCATTTCACAAGTAGTTGTTTTTTTTTTTTAACCAAAAGAATGCTTCGTTATTATTTTTCAAATAGTTTCCAATAT